CAAGCAGAGTCACCAGCAGAGATAAAGAAAGGAGGAGGATGTCTGTCTCCACAGAGCCCATTTCATAGTGATGGAAGAGACATCTGCTCTATGATAGTATTACGCCTCTCAGCATTGGACAGATCATTTGGAAAGCAAATCAACAGAGTAACCATTATTCTTTCAGACGGAGAGAAGAAATCTAGGGTGATTAGAAGGGAGAGGGGGGAGGGTAAAGGGGATGGGGAGGGATTGGACAAGGGTCGTAACGAATAATTATGATTTATAACAATATATATGCTAGTAATATTGATTTGATCAACATATCTCAATGTTGAACCCCCAAAATATGTATAATCAATTTTGATTCAATAAAAATTAATTAAGTAAATAAAGTAAGTAACTTGGAAGCAAGTGTGTAGTAAGAGAAAGTAAAAATCTCTATAAACTATATGGCAGGAAGAGTTTAAACTACTATAATATGGAAAATTTCAATATGATTTGCTTTATTTCAGAATCCTGGTAGAAATTGACTTCCCACCAAAATAACTTTACTGAAAAAGTGCGCTCATTTTATTTATTTTAATAAGTAATTGAGCTGAATTAAGGTAAAAATTTGGTTTATGTTTAAGGTATGCTTAAATATTGATAATGAAGTTGGGCTCATTCAAAATTATGGATCCTACTGTCAACAAAAGCAAATAAACAGAACCCCTTAAAGAAAGCTGAACAGCGTGACATTTTTTTATAATTATCACAGGCTTCTGTATTTTATGGTTACTCATATTTCAACTGAAAAACATTGTTATATGTAAAAAAAAAAAATAAGATAGTGATTAAGACATGGATTTGTTTTGCTTCCTACACTGGTTCTGACATCGATTTCCAAAAAGGAGTTTCTAAATTGCTTCATATTAGCAATAGCATCGGGGTAAATGTATAAATTTTTTAAAGGTTGAATGCTTTTTTTTTTTTTTTCCTTTTTGTCTTTTTTACTGACNGCCAGTGAGCGGGAACCGGTCTCCACATGGGATCTGAACCCTCAGCGGGAGCGCTGCCGCGTTCCCAATTGGCACACTCTCCAGTGCGCCACCGGGCCGGCCCAAAGGTTGAATGCTTTGAAGGCTATTTGAGGATGTATATTTCTGGTCAAAATTTTTAAAAATGCAAAATTGTGGTTAGCTTCAATCATCCCACTGTATTTTTTATATATTCACATATCCAGTGGCTCCAGAGGCTATTTTAAAGGGAAATTAAATTATCTGCTGTATCTAAGTTCCGATTCTCTATCGCTAAATATTCAATTTAAATCATAACACACTTTTTTCTGTTTTAATATTCAATGGACACTCCCACACTAATCAAGTCACCCTCTGTCCAGAAGGAGTAGAATCTCTGAAAGGAAGGGCTAACTTCTCTATGAGGCAATACCAGACTCTTTTACTATTGGGAAAAATATAGAAATAAAAGGATACGGTCTCAGGTACTGTATAAACATGACAGTTTGTCTCAGTACTTTAAGTCACAGGCTATTATCTTTTGATGATATGTACCTGTTGTGTTTGGGGAGACTGACTCACCTCAAATACCACCTCCAGGCCCTTATCACTTGATGCTCTTTGTACACAGCTACTAGAGTCTTCTTGTGAAATCCTGGATGCATCAGCTGAATGGCATTAGTAATAGAAACAGCTATATTTAGCTGAATGCTTATCAAACTTTTATGTTGATGCTCCATGCATCTTCTGCTCTTCTCTAGTATAATCAAGAGCCCAATACCTGCACCATTTGTGCATCAACATAATCATGTGTATGTATGTATGAATACATACTGTGTATGTTCTACGTATATGTGAATGTTTTTTGATGAAGAGAATGAGTGTGGAATTAGAGGAACTAGCCTCTTAATTTAGTGCCTAC